ATGACATCTATAACTTCGATACACCTCCAAACGACTTCCATATATCAAATTTCTCCAACCAAATAGACGTGGAAGCTATACTGCGCAGCCGAGGACCGCGGTTTTCGTCCACAGGACGGGGTCATCGCTTCTATGAGGGGTATGACGATTCCGACGTAGCCGATACAGACGATGAGGAAGACGAAAACCTAGATCTCGCCTTCGATGATACCGCCGACGTCGAACCTTACGGCCCTCCTCTCGATCTCATTGATCTTGCGGCTACCACAACAACAGTTCCCGAGGACCAGTGCTGTACAGTCTGCATGGAAAGCCACTCCCACAGTACCAGTGATGGGGGAACTATGAAGCTCAATTCGTGCGGACATCTGTTCCACTACAAGTGCATCTACGAATGGCTGAACGGAACGTCCTCTAATAGCAACCTTTGCCCGGAATGCCGTATTCAGTTCAGCGAGCAGCGTAGACCGGTACGACCAGTTCAACCGGCATCAGTGTCGTCCTCAGACTCTGGTAGTACGTGGCTTGTGTCCACCAGCGACGACTTTGAAGATGAAGAAGAGCGAAGCCTTGAGCCGATTTCCCAGCAAAATCGAGCTGATGGCGATGCCGTGAACGAGACGGAAGAGACCTCAGCTCACCGAGATACACCAGCTCAGCCTGCCACGACGGGAGAATCAGCTTTGGAATACATGACCCTTCCGCAGAGATTCATAGTGTACGAAGCCGATGCGAACCTGGGGGATAATGATGAGGAAGAGGACAACGACCACGAAGACCTCAACGACCCTCACGACACCTCCTCCCCTTCTACTTCATCCCCAGATGCCGGACTCAGCGATCCGCAAGAAAACGTATCCGTTCCCGCAAATACTAGGCGGCAGAACCGTATTCTTAGCATTGATTACAGTGCGACTTGGGACGGACGCGCATTCTCAGACGGGCCCAACGACGAGGATGAAGAAGGGGTTGGCGAAAGGATATACCCGGGCGATTATGACAGGTTGACCTAGTTGCATGATCATTAGAACGAGGCACCTGGTCGGTATGTGGACGTGAGTCGAAGAAGATGGAGACATCGGATATGACGACTGGGGTGACATCAGGAGCGAGAATCGTACAAGGAAATGATCATGCCAACGGCGTGGGTAGAGTTTCGTAGCACCTCCTTCAAAGGAAAATTGAACCTCTAGAGCCTACGTTGACGTTGGATTGCCTATTTTGCATGTTTACCTTTGAATGTAGGCTGTAGACCTGTTTAGCTCTTTTCTTTTTTTATGGGCTGATTAGCTGATGAAATAACCGCCTGCCACCTCAGTCTGCCTTAGGTGTCGCAAATACTCACGATTCTTTGGTCGTGTGCATTCCACTGCGCAACATCATGCATTCTACCACGTCTACACGTCTACTTGATAACTAACGGCTTCGCACCAACTTTCTCCGCCTCCGCGTTTAGCGCATCAACTTCCGCTTGCACCAACGGAATTCCAGTCTTCTCTCGTTCCTGCTGTTGCAACTGCTCGAGCTCGCCTGGGAAGTAAATTCTGTCCACACCCGCTGCCTTCTCCGCACCCGTAACCCTATCATAGAGAATTTGCATCCTCTCCCTGAAGTCATCCAAGCTCATGAATAGATCTGGTTTCACTGCGACTAGGAAGTGGCCGACATCCGATGGTCTGGAGGGGTCGTAGGGATTCGTAACATCGCCTGCAAATGCGGAGCCGGAGAGTACACCGGAGAAGACATCCATCATGACAGCAAGACCTGAACCTTTAGGCCCACCCATAGGTAGCATGACACCGCCGTCGAGTGCCGCTTCTGGGTCATCCGTTGGCTTTCCATCTTTGTCCAGCGCCCAGTCCAGCGGTATCTTCTCTCCCCTCCTCTTCGCCTTGTAAATCTTTCCTCTGGCCGCAATGGACGGCGCCATGTCCAGAACGAATGGTTGGTCTTTCCCCGGCGCACCGCATGCTATCGGAGAGACACCTAGCAGCTTACTCTTCCCACCCCAAGCCGGCAGCGCAGGGCTCGAATTGGTAAACACCAGACTCATCATATCGGCATCGAGCGCTTTCTGTACGACCCAAGCACTCATACCGAAGTGATTTGAATGCTTGATGCTCGCCATCCCGATACCATATGTCTTTGCGGATTCGATGCACGCAGCCATGCCGGCGTCTGCTGCAAGAAAGCCGAAGCCGTTGTTGGCGTCGACTTGGGTAACAACTGGTGTTACCTGGGTGAGGGTGGGTGTGGCCGCACTGTTCAAGACGCCTTGACGGACGCGCTCCATGTATGAAGGGATTCTGTTCATGCCGTGGGTGTCGACGCCGCGGAGGTCGGCTGCTATGAGGCATTTGGCAACGATGCTCGCGTTCTCAGGCGCGACGCCATTGCCAATTAGGACTGAGGTTACGAAAGATCGTGCATCTTCAGCGTTGACGTAAAGCTTCTTGTCTGTTAGAGGGTCTGTCATGTTTGTATTGGATGTTGAAGGTTGAGCTGCCAAGGTAGGGAAGGAACGGAGGACTGCTTGGTATGCTTGTCTCGTATCTTATACGGTCCTACAAGCGTAACAGTGAGTCACGGTTTCCGGAAAAGCATCGGATAACAACTGCGTTCTGTTGAGTTGTGGAGATAGCTAGGGGGGATGTCTGAGTCAGCGGAGGTGGACTAGTGAAGACGGACTTCCCCGCTGTTCCCCGCAATCCTCAATCGAACTTCATAAACCTCAGGATGGAAGACATCAAGCCTGAATCAAGCTCAGACTCCTGCGCGTACGAACCGAATTTGCCGAGAGCTAGCATTTAAGCATTGCGAACAAGTCGCGACTGACTTCCTGCTGACCGCTGGTTGGACGCAGGGGAGCGCAATGGTCAAGAATGGACATGATGGCCTCACTCAGTGAGCGATATCCCGAGCAGGTTGTGGTGTTTTAGCTGTCGATGATGACTGAGTGATAAGTCTGGCAGTGACGTCGTTCTTTCCTGTTTCGTCTCCTGGGTTGTCTCGGCCACAAACAAGACCACAACTGTTTCGGCGCCACTCATCGCTCATGAGTCCCTTTCAGAGCTTTGATCCCTATTGGAAATTAGAAGAAAGGAACAGAGGTCTACCTGGTGAACGAAGTCGTCGAATCACTGGACGCTGCGACTGCAACTTCCTCTTTCCCCGCCAAGCCTCACGTGCTTGCTCGCAACCTTGGAAGCGCGGGTAGCTACACTCACATCTCACCTCTTGTCACCTCAATCCACTGAACCCTCTGCCTAAATCCCACAAAACTCTCGAAATTTGCAAACATGGACGACGAAGGCCCTAAATGGCGTCTTGGTATGTTCCGCCGCATCCCCTTCACAAACTCTTAGCTAACAGCTTGTAGAGCAGGCCAGTACTGGCCGCGCAACTTGTAGTCAGGCCGCCTGCAAGCGCAGCCAGATCAAGATCGCGAAAGGAGAGCTACGTATCGGTACTCACACGCTGTTTGAGCCAGAGGCTAGATGGTACATGGCCTGGCGTCACTGGTAAGTTTACCTTCGTCTGAAACCTCCTGCGCCTACTATGTATGTACTGACGTAGCAAGGGGCTGTGCGACCAAGCATCAGATCGCGGGCTTGAAGGAGACCACCGGTAACGACCCGACAAAGGCACCTGGCTACGATCGACTCAGTCCGGAGAGCCAAGAGCAAGTACGCCTAGCCTTCGAGGGTCAGCCAGTCGACAAGAACTTCAAGGGCATCCGAGAAGACCTGGCCAAGGACGCTCAGCGATACGCCAAAGAGTACACTGATGTCAGCTTCTACAAGGTCGACGTTGCCGGTCGTGCATGCGCTTGCCGTGGCAGCGACTGCCTGTCTAAGAACGTGAAGATCACCAAAGGTGAGCTGAGGCTTGGTCTATCCGTCCCGTTCGATGGCGAGCACGAGAGCATGGTCTACAAGCACTGGCAGTGCATGTCAGCATTCGACTTAGAAGAAGTGGCTCGCCGAGCCAGTGAAGACATGTTCGATGGCCGTGACTCCCTTTCCACAGAGTTCCAGGAAGCCGTGACCAAGACACTCGAGACTGGCAAGATCGTTAAGCCACCGGCGCCCGATATCGAGTCGCGCGCGAAACCAAAGAAGGCCAAGGCCCAGAAGAAGAAGGTCAAAGATGAGGCAGAAGAAGACGCCGCAGAGCTCGCAGAGACCAAAGTCAAGGCAGAAGATCCGGAACACGAGGTGAAGCCACAGCCGAACGTCGCCTATCCGCCCTCGCCCCCGCTCGAGATGGAGAAGGCACCAAGCACAAGTAAGGTCGGAGGAGCAGTCGACGCCCAGCCGACTGAGGATGGACCGACCGTCGGTGTCAAGTTGGAAGAAACAGGAGTCGATGACGCGGTCAAGGCTACAGATGCAGCAGCAGTTCCCAAGCCCAAAGCCAAGAAGACGCGAGCGAAGAAGCGTCCTATCCGGGAGGTGGATGGAAGCGAGGATGAGCCCGAATACATCCCCAAGAAGTCGAGAAGCCGATCCACTCCGTTCGCCGGTAGTGCTGGTCTTACATAGCGCGATGGCATTCCGAGGGAACCCACGATCAAGTAGGAGAGCGTGTTGAGGACTAGACCGCAGTCTGAGTCAAAGGCGCACTCTATTCGTTCTGTTGAGGACTGATAAGGTGAAGGAGATGACAGCGAGGTGGCAGCTGACTGAACATGTACAAAGAGCACATACATAGCTGAAGGAATCTATAGCAAGCTTCTTCTGAATCAAAATACCCGCGCGATCGACCTTGAACAAATCGTCGACACTGTCGTAGGTCGCGTTGACTTCGCGTCACAGCTAGTTTCCTGACGCACGACCCACCTGAGCTCCAAGTGGCGCATCCTTGCCGCAAGCTGTCCTCCCCGCAACACACCCACTACCAACGCAACTCCACTTCACGAACCGCCCTATCTATTCTACTTCGCCAATCACCCAGGACCTACCTCGTTTCAAGAGCCTATTCACTCGATAATAGCCACGATGCCCGGCAAAATCATACCCGTAACCTCCGCTTCGCACTTCTCCCAACTTCTGTCGCAATCCAAATACACCATCGTCGACTTCTACGCGGATTGGTGCGGACCATGCAAGGCAATTGCGCCAGTCTTCCAGGGCTTGGCAGAGAAAGAGACTAAGCCAGGCAAGATGCAATTCGTCAAGGTAGACGTGGATAGCCAACAGGAAGTTGCAAAGAAGTATGGCGTCAGCGCGTACGTACACCCCCGAGAGACACACCTGCATGCCGGGATGGAGGAAACTGTAGATTCATGAGCTAACATAAACACTGTCCAGTATGCCAACCTTTCTCGTCATCAAATCCACCTCCGTCGTCGAAACCATCCGAGGCGCCAACCCCGCAGCCCTCACAGCCGCCGTCCGTAAAGCCGCAAACGATACTTCTGGCCCGGGTGCCGCTTCCGCCGTCTTCTCTACCAAAGGCCGCACGCTTGGCTCCGCTTCAGAACCAAGTCGGCCTGTAGGCGAAAGCCCATTTGCCGGCCTACAAAGGATGCTGACTGGCAATGGTGGACTGAGCGATACGCTGGTCAGGTTTGCAGCGCTGTACTTTGTCAGCCTGTTCGCGTTTGACTCTTTCAAGGCCGCGGAGGAGAGTCCGTTCAATGTTCGCGCGAGACGGTAGGAGAGGGCGGAGAACACGGAGTGACAGCACGTATGCGGAGGTTCGGCGTTTAGGATAAGAGCATGGCGTTTTTGGTATACCATTCTGAGGTTTAGTGTTTTTACAATATTCACATTATCGGCAGCACCAGTATCCAAGAGCTCGTTCGAGCTTCTAGGCACCGCTGACTGCGACATTTTATTCACATTTCGATCTTGAATCCACTCTGGTTCTAGTAAGATTGCTCTTGACTAGTCCGTCTTTCACATTTCTCTTTGATTCTCAGCTTGCCTTGAAATCGCCAGAAGGAAATGTCCACGTGTGACCATCCATGACTATGCTATCAAAGCAAGCTTTGTGCAAACAATCACGATATACTCACTTTATATCCACCTCTGCGATACTCTCACTACACCAAACGTGAGGCCTACAGATGATGGACCCTTCTTCCGGATTCACACCCAAAAAAGCTCTTGCTAGCTGGAACCACGCCCAACTTTTAGAAAACTACCGCGAACTTTACACAGAGTACGACAAGTACGCACAGCTCGCCGCGCAGTTCGACGGCCCCAGATTACCGTTTGGACGAGAGCGCGCGCTTCACAACCTAGTCAATGCACGAGCGAAGGTGGAGCATGATATCAAGAGACTTAAGAAGGCGTACCAAGAAGAGTGGATGAAACTAGCGTGCCAGAATCTCGATGCGAAGCTCCGTGAGGCACTTGAACAAAGTAGAGACACACTGGCAGCTGTCTTAGACGAAGATCGCCGCCTTGCGCATGACCAACTAATGAAAGAGAAGGCAGAGTTGCAGAACGAGAAGAGTAGCCTGTTGTTGCAGTTGCGAGAATTGTTGTACAGATATAAAGAGCTGCTGGAGAAGCAGAAGAAAGGGGAGAATGATTGCAATGTCAGCAATGTGCAAGAGGTGGAAGGCGAGAGAGACCTGCTTCGAGAAGACCTCGATATTGCTCGGGTGGAGTGTGAGAAGTTGAGACAAGAAGTAAAATACCTTCAGGAGGTATTTGGGGTAAAGGATTAGTATCGATATAGCGATTGTAATTGCAAGGAACGTGATTAATGAGCGAATGCATCAATGATCGCTGAGTAGAATTACTTAACTATGTAACAATTCAAATCAGTATCTATACGTAAATACTGGTTTACTGGACGATGAGCTCGAGCCACTAGACGAGGGTCTTTCCCCATTGATCTCAGCCTTATCCTTCTTACCCAGCACTACCCTTTCACACCAAGAGCACCAACTCCTCAGCTCGCCCTTGACTTCTCGTTCAAGATACTGAATCGATTTCTTCTTCTCGTCCTCAAACAGCTTGACGCATTCGCCAACGCGCACCTGCTTCTTGTGTTTGACCTTGAGCACACCGCCGATACCCTCGATCTCCTGTGTAAGGTAGGAAGAGCCCCTCCAGCGTTCGGGCGACTCTGGGGTTTGAGATCGCTCTTTCTCGATAGTGTCGAGGAGGTTTTGCTCGCATGTCTCGTGCTCGACGATGTGTGCGCCTAGGCACGCAGAGCCTCGCCCGCATTCTACGCCTTCGTTGCCTTCGCCAAGGCCGATGCCTACACCGCCGTGCATGTGGCTGTACATGGTGCGCCAGCTCCATCCTCGGACGTATGTGGTATCGGCGTTTCGCAGGTCTTTGCCACATGGAGCGCAGAGCCAAACTACGTTGTCGCAGTTGCAGGGTGTACGCTCGAAAGCTGGCGCCGTAAAGGCTCGCGGGTTGTCGCCATCGAACAGCACTGGATGTGTCTCTGGTGACCCGGGTGGCGAAGGGGACATTGATGAGGCGCGCTGCTTCTGCACAGCCATGAGCAGTGTGAGGGGCGCTTTGGTACACGTGCGACATAGCCGGCGATGACGGGCTCTGAGCGTGGGCGTTGGTGGTGGCTTCATGGTGCAGTTCTGCGAGACCCATTAGCCCTCAGTTCATCCTCTCATATTTGGGCGGCATACCCGGCATACGACTGTCCCACACCGCTGGCAGTCGCCCACCATGTCGCGGGCGCATTTTCCAACGCGCCCAGTTGTCAGGCGGCTCTCCAAGACATGTCGCCCCTCCTGCAGTCGCGAGCCAAGCTTCTCACTGGGGTCATCGTCTTCGTTCTCACAATGAAGCGTATGTTTGACCAGCTGGCTGCGATATTCAAGCAGATTGGCGCGAAACTGCCTGCAAGTCCGTGAGAGGTCGTGAAGCGTGTTGAGGTCGAGTTGAGCAGCGAGCTGACTGACTATCCTGCATAGTTAATGTGATTAGCATACATCAAAGCGCGGAATCAAGTCCATGCTATGGCTGGAGCGTACGGATAACAGCTAAGTGCCGCGCTGAATCCATTGATATTCGGGTTCGGCCTCTCGGCTGCTGTCGTCACGTCGTCTGCATCAAGGGAGCGACGCGGCGGCAAGACGTTGAACCGGCCGGAAGATGGATGGGGCGTCTCTAAATTGGGCAGTTCATCGTCTCCCAGATCAACTAGGACCACCATGGTTGGTAGCTACAAAACGAGTGTGCAGCATCGAAGCCAGACAGGGCTTGAATAGAGAGAAACGAGAGTCGTGATGGAGACTGCGATGCCGGAGTCATGACGAACTGGAGACACGCTCCGTCGCGTTGGTGGGGGGCTTGGCGGACAGCGGCTTTGCTTCCGTTCGTTACGCGTCGCAGTCGTTCGCTCTTCACTCGGCCCGTGACGTGGGTCCATCATCGTGACGCGAGCTGTCATGGTTCTGGCAATCGACGAATACATCATCAGTCACACTGACTTCTCGGGTTATCGGCACGCAACGAAGAAATACAGTAGATACCAATTTGACCGAATGCACGCCTACCACGGGGATCCAGACCGACATGCCAGGTATTCTCAGAGCCTCCTTGGAAGCCGACCGCAACATTGGCTGCGGTTTCCCCTGGAGGAGCCGATCGTTATACGGATCCACTTACTGATCCAGGCACAACTAGTCATTCTGAACATGCTGACGGTACGTTACAGATTCAATTTACAGCTAACTATGTAGCCAACCACTTCAACGATATCCACGTCGACCAAACCCTTGACTACCGTACCCACGCTGCCCCCAATCTGCCTCACGCCTGGTCATCGTTAGCCCGTTCGCCGCACGCCCAGTTACCGGATTCCAACTTCCAGATGCCCCGATGAAATTCTCTTCGCATTGCTCAGGTGGCGGGTGAATACGGCATCCTTTGGGGTTTACCGGCCCGTACCAAACGACATCGTGCGGTAGCCCTTTCCTGAGAACTCCAATCTCTGCTGCTCGTCTCGCAGTCTCCCTCTGGCCATCCTGCACTCGCATACTTTCAGGGTGCAAGACCTGCGCACGCACAGTTCTTAGTTCGTGGTTCGAGTTGACGAAGTCTTTGCCTAAGATATCCATGCATCGCTGGATATACTCTTCTCTCTGTATCTCCTGGCCTTGAAGATCTAGGATGTGTACACCGTCGTATTGTGCGTGGTTGTTATCTTCAGGATGTGAGTACGCATCGCCGTGGGTTTCTGGTTGTGCGCAACGACAGAATTGGGAGTCAGTGAGATTTCTATCGTAGCCGGTGTAGTGGACCCGTGTCTGTCGTCGGTTGACTACTTGTTGTTGTGGAACAATTGCCAATTGTGGAACGAGGGCCAGCTGCGGGTTCTCGGCCTGTACAATATAAGGCCCTGAGAAAGGTACTTGTTGTGAGAACGTAATATTATAGGTATACCCCGACTGCCTATAGGGAAACATGGCTTTAGTTTCTTTAGAGTAGCAGGCGGTCGTAATGTTGTTATGTGGTGAGAGTGTGAGGATTCTGAATTGAGCAGCCTAGGATATGCTTTTATACCTTGAATATGTCACTCGCAATGGCCACGTCGTCTCCTCGAGATCGTGTTGTACTTATGTTCACATCTCCAGCTACTGTGACATCTACATTTCAAGAAGAAGTTGAAGACCTTGTAGTCCATTCTTCATGCACTTTGTACCATCACCCGTGGTGGCGGAGGTGACAATGACTAACAGCTAACTGATTAGATGTGCCAAACCGTTGGACGTTTGAGATTATGTGAATACGGCTCTTTGTTTATAACGGCCAAACTGTCGTGAAGTCCAAAAAGTCATGATACGAAGACGGAGAGTCGAGTGGAGGAAGCGACGACGAGGATGAACGCGACTGGTCACTAGCGTCTTGGCATTTGTGGATCGATCTGAAGGAGCGATGCGGTTTCTCATGCATGTCACAATCCCTGAATGGGCGGCACCATCGCATCAACGCAACGCCCCCGGAGGACCCATCGAACTTCACACTTGTCCCTGTTACCCTCCATCCACCATGGCTCATAGCACGGGAGCGGTGAACCGGCTTCGGCTCTCCACGACGCTGACCGAATGGGGGGACCACGATACTTACTAATGACGACAAAGCCATCACGTCCGTCCAGTGCCAGACATGCGGGTAGAGATGCACTCCTGCGACACGGCATACTCGCGATACGTCACTGGCCTCACGGGCTTGACGCCCTTTGCATCCGTAGTCTGCGGGTCGTAGCCGGACGCTAATGCAACGAGCCCGTACCGCTGGCCCCCCATCTGCAGCAAAGTGAGCTAGATGTAATCTTCTACAAAAGCAATGTGTGAGATTTAGAAGGGACACGTAGTTTCGTCCCTGCATCCTCTGTCGATATAACAATCGCACAAAGCAAGTGTAGTCTACAACGCCTACGAAGACCAGCTAGCAGCAAAGCATTGCGACAAGATACAGCCCTAACATCGAAGCATACAGCACCATGACGACTTTCCTTCTTCGCGACATTCGCATTTTCACTGGCGAAGAGAGTATCGACGAGGGATATGTCCACGTACTTGATGGCAAGATCAAGAGTGTCGGACCCATCAGCGATGCGCCGCTCGAACCAGTAAAGACATATTCGAAACCGGGCCACACGCTCCTCCCAGGCTTGATCGACTGCCATATCCACGCAGACAGGGGCGATCCCGAAGCCCTACCCCAAGCATTGCGCTTTGGAGTGACTACCGTGTGCGAAATGCACAACGAGCTTGAGAACGTGCAAAAGCTGAAGAAGCAGACTTTGGAGCCAGATACTGCTTCGTACAAGACAGCAGGCCAGGCAGCTACTATCGAGAACGGGTGGCCGATACCCGTGATCACGGCTCACGACAAGAGTCCGGAAACAGCGGCGGCAATTGCAAAGTGGCCCAAGTTGACGGATCAAAGCAGCGTGGTGGAATACTTGGAGTGGACGAAGAAAGAGATGCAACCAGACTACATCAAACTCATGCACGAGAGCGGGACCAGCATGGGTCGCGAGTTCAATTATCCTTCAGTTGAACTGCAAAGAACGATCATCACGGAAGCCAAGAAGCGAGGTTACCTGACCATCGCACACGCTCTCTCCCTGCGAGACACTCTCGATGTTCTGAATGCAGGTGTGAATGGCCTCACACACACGTTCTGCGACCAGCCGCCGACTCAGGAGCTAATAGATGCGTACCAGAAAAACAACGCCTGGGTCAATCCTACGCTGGCTGCGATTGGTAGCCTGACAACTGAGGGCAAAGAGCTGCAGCATCAGTTCGCACATGACCCCCGGATCAAAGGGCTTATCAACGATGATCGCGTGGGCAATATGTGCAAGTGCATGGGGTTTTGTGCTGAGAACGGTAAAGCGGAATACGCATACGAGGGCGTGAAGAAGTTGAGGGAAGCGGGTATTGATATTCTCTGGTAAGTGGATCGTGTGTATCCCATTGACCAAGTTACTAACGCGTTCCAGCGGAAGTGATTCAGCAGGTCCAGCAGTAGGAACGGCGTTTGGGCTATCGATGCATCAAGAACTGAACGTCTTCGTACACAAGGTCGGCATGTCACCTGCGGAGGCTCTGCGTTCGGCTACAAGCCTGGTTGCCAAACGCTTTCAATTCACTGATCGCGGACGTTTGGCGGAAGGACTCAACGCCGACATGTTGCTGGTTGAAGGAAACCCACTTGAAGACATTGACGCGAC